CCGGCTTACAGCGCCGTGGCCGCCTCTCGCGACCACGCCGGCTTACAACAAGGAGGACGACTCGCCCGTCCGCACCGGCTTACAAACACTGCGGCTGATTCATCTGTCTGCTCCCGCGGCTGACTCACCCATGAGTGATTTCAGCTTCACCAAGTGATCATCAACTTCATGGCGGATTATTTCCGGCCTAACATATCAGGTGACATCTATCTAAATCTATTTTTGACATATATTGTTTTTGTAAAAAAGAACAATTACGTTGGTTTTGCATATTTTTATATGCAGGACAATTATTCGCCACAACATTTGTGTGACACCATGCATATGGAGCGCGCACTGGCGTCATTATATACTGGCTTTTAACCATTCCGCACTACTCAACGGACACGCGCAAACCGCCTGTGGTCCGGTTTACATCAACACGCGGCCGGTTCTCCATCTACGCCGACTTACAATGCCCGCAGGCGACTCCCCGTCCGCGCCGGTTCACAATACCCGCAGGCGGCTCTCCGTCCGCGCCGGTTTACAACTCCCGCGGCTGACTCTCCCGTCCGCGCCGACTTACTATGTCGCGGCCGACTCATCTGGCTGTGCCGTCTCTGAAACCGCGGCCGTCTTTGTCATCCGTCTCTCGCGGCCTGGTCTACATCAACATACCGGGCCGCACCTGTCTGCATGAGCTGGTGATTGGGCGCACAAGTCGCCGCCACTACAGTTTTGATTAACTGCAAATCGCCAGTTGGAAGGAACCATTGGCCGAGTTGCTGACATGGCTCATATGGGATCATTTACAACCCGCCGCAGTCACCTCAACCTTGTATGGATTCACATCGTGCTATCAACGCCAATGATATACAAGTTATGCCGGTTTATATCACGGTCAAATATGGAGAGTCTCAAGCCAACTCCTCGAGTCACCTTTGAGACTCGGGGGCTACGATGACATGACTCAGCGAATATTGCCCGTTTCAGTAAATTTAAGAACCCCAGGACGATGGAGGGAAGGATAACCCGGTCCCGGAGGCTACTGTTATATTGATAAAAGTTTAAAGGCCGTCATAAAATTTCCGGTTTAGAAAGTATAAGACAGTTATAAAACCCCGGCTCAATGAAGAAGATCCGGGTCATCAGAAAGGATTCCGGTTTAAAATCCGGTTCAAGGAAAGTCAGTCTGACTGAAGCTCTCAGATATCCGGTTTACAGTCCGGTTCAAGGGAAATCTATTCTCCCACAAAGCTCTGAAACGCTCAAATCCGGTTTAACAATGTCCGGTTCAAAAAGGAACTAACTTCTCGCAAGTTCGAGTTTAAAGGCCGTCAATTTTTTTTCCGGCAGAAAATGAAGATTCCGGTTTAAAATCCGGTTCAAGGGAAAGATGTCTCCCACAAAGCTTTGAAGCTCTCAATATCCAGTTCAAGATCCCGGTTCAAGAAGAATTTATCTCTTGCAAAAAAAGTTAAAAGTTGCCAAAGAGGACCTGCTGCCATGATGCGCGGTTCAAACATGGGTATCCCGCCTTACTGGCCTGACATATTATCGATCACATGGAGGCTTCTGCTTCATAAAGCGGGGTCTCTGTTTTTTTACATCATGTGAGGTTACACGGAGTTGCTCTAAAGCGGCCTCCGGTTTACCCCTTGAGTTCGCTTTGCTAAAAGCATCGTGTTATATCACTTGGAGGATTGGTCGTGTCCGAACCAATACCATGCCTCTTGATAGACGAAGCCACCAGATCACTTGGGGACTAGGTCATGTCTAAACCAGTCACGCCTCTTGATCGGCCTAAGGCCACAGAATCACTTGGGGCTTGGTCGAACCCGAACCATGACCACACCATTTGGTCGGCATAAATGCCACGATTTCATCTGGGGACCTGGCTGACTAGAACCATAGTTACACCTAACGGGAACTTGGTCGTGTTTAGCCACGGTAACGCCATTTGATCAGCTTAAATAAAACTTTTCTTTTGCTTCACACTTTTCTTTGAAGGGGGGGTTTTTGCTTTTCATTATGTTTCTTAACCCGACAAAAAAAATTTCAATTGAAGGAACACAGTTCACGTCAATCCGGAGACTATTTGCCCGATTTAACATCCTCTTTTCGAGTAAATCGGTGTTTATCACAACCCGACACGATTTTATCATAAACCGGCACAATATGGAAGGAGTTATCAGTACTCAAGATTTGAGTTATCACACATACTACAAAAAGTTGGTAAAACCAACGATGTGATTCAATTTCACAGGTATGATATATTTCATATTTGATTATTCTAAATGCAGCCTTGGTTATAAACCCAGGTTATATGTTGGGTATTATGACCCGTCCGGCGGTAAACCGCCAGGACACTTTAAACTTGTTGTATGCAGAAACAAGTTTGTTAAACCGGCCTGGTTTTTGGACTATAAGTCGCCAGCATATATATATTTGGATAGCGCCATCGGAATTATGCGCTTATAAATCATTGGGTTATATTATTCAAATAGCCAAACTTGGCTGGATTTTCATTATGATATTGAATGAATAAGGTTTTCATACCAGATTATATTATCTTGAATAGCCAACATGGCTGGATTTTTATGGTTATTAATAACCGGTATTATTGAGTTTTCAAAAGTCGCTTTAGCGCAACAGTTATTATTTTATCAAAGGATATGATTTATTCTATAATGGAAGGAATAGTCCCGACTCGCTGCAGGCTCACGACCCGGCACTTGGGGGCTACATTATTCAAATTGAGATTACATGCAAGTCTCATGTCGCTGCAAGCATGCACCATGACACTTGGGGCTAATGCAAAGTCATTTTTACTAGTCTCATTGAAGACCCGACTCATCATATTATACTGAGCCGGCCCTTGGGGGCTACCAATTGCTCATGTCAACAATTAAAGGTACACAAATTTTCGTCCATAATATTGAAGGATTCATTGCTCAGTTGGTAAAGCACGAAACTCTTAACCTTGTGGACGTGGGTTCAAGCCCTACGATGGAAGCTACATTATAAGGTGTTATTTTCATTGAAGTATATATCAAGTCCCGGTTCAGTATTATTTTACTAAGCCGGCCCTTGGGGGCTACGCATCACTGCTCAATTCTACATGATTATATTTATAAAGTCCCTGCTAATTATTGCATAATGACCCGGCTCTTGGGGGCTACACTGATTGAAGTTTTTAAGCAATTACAAGTCCCAGGTAGCTTCAAGTATGACAACCCGGCACTTGGGAGCTACATATATGGAGTATTCAGTTTATATGATTGAGATGAACAAACCGGATTTCTTCAAGGTTGAAACACTTATTGGAGCAAGTCTTAAGTTATCACTATGTTCTCCTCTTAAGACTTGAGGGCTACAGGTATTATGCATATAAAGGAGGAACATCTTCTTTTTATCAGTGTTGAGCAAATCAGGAAGATCAATACATGACTCGGTGTTGATAACAATTATGACCTGGTGCCATCAATATTTATAAACCGACCATTTTTGGTAATATTAAACCGGCAAGTTTTACATCTTCAAACCGGCTGAAAATCAGATAAGTATTTTCAGACCCATATTTCTTAAATCAGCGCTTTGGGAGCTGAGTCAAAGGAGTTATTCTTCACAATATTTTTCTCGGCGACAAACCAATGTCGGCAAATTGATTATGAAATTTGCTTATTGATCTGGATTTTCTAGAAGAAGGAAATGGCAAGGAATTAAGGATGCTCAGATGTCGGTTTACAAGAATTCTTAACCCGAAGCATAATCTATCAAATTTGTTCTTGTATTTGTTTTACAGGATCAGTTTAACATGGATAAATCCAAATTAAACTGGGGGCTAATGTCGGGGATACACCTCGTGGCATAAACCGGCCGGAAGTATAAACCGGCCGGACTGGATGACTCACTGGTAACCCGCCCGGAGCTGGCGGTTCACCGGCTACCCGCCCGGTCTTGGCGGTTCATTAGTAACCCGGCGGGCGGGTCAGATGGATGACAAGGCCCATGGCCCAAAAAGCCGGTTCATACTATGGTGGGCCGGTTTAAGAGGAAAGGCATGAGGAATATTTATCTTACAAGGAGTTAAGACCAGGACTTGTATCCGGTTTGTATTAAAGATAGACTAGTGCTAATCCTAATAGGACCCCACATGTAAACCGCCCCTTCAACATATATAAGGAGGGGCAGGGCTCCCCAAAGGGGGACGAGACAACAATCAACAATCTTAGGGCTAGACACAAAGAGGAGAGCCGGTTTACGGCAACTCCCTCGTGATGATAATGAGACCTAGCCTCAAACAGCATGTAGGGTTGTTACCGGATGATGTTTCCTGGGGCCCGAAGCTGTCTAAATCCCTGTCTTGTGTTGCGTCTCTTGATTCCGCTCAACCCCTCTCAAGCTATCACATAGATGCGTTGGCCTCATGACTAAGTCCTTACACTAGGACATCTGACGTGACAATTCCACGACAGGTGGGACTTCATCTTCCAAGCTACATCCATGGCTGACGGCGAGCTGCTCACGTGCTGCAACAGGGGAGGCGAGAAATGCGTGCATTGTGGGGCGAGATCCACGCGAGGTTGAAGAAAGCAGAGAGGATAGCGTTGGTGGCCCCGTGTCTACGTGTCGTCTGGTGGGTGTCTGGGGCGAAGCGCGCGTGGACGCGTTCGGCCCAAAGTTCGACCAGTGCACCGTGCCCCATCGTTTTTCTTTTTTAAAATTACTTGCTAATCTTTTTCGAAGTTACCGTTCGAACGGTGGGTGTGGAACCGTATTCCAAAAATTCGTGTCCTATGGTGCGACGAGCATGTACAACTCCGTAGTAGGACCACGCTACTGGTCTCACTGCGCATCTTTGTTCTCGGCCTCTCGTGAACGGGAATCCAATATTCCCTCATCCCTCAAAAAGAAAAACATCACACGCTGCTGGTCAGACTGACTGGAGCAGAGGAAACTGCCGACGACCATCGTCCGTCCGTTGCAACAGCGAGGCAGCATCAAAGCACGAGCTTCCCATGTACGCCTTCGCGCGCGGTTCGCAGCCACACGTCTGCCCCGTCTCCTCCCCTCCTACAGTCCACCACTCTACTGCATCGCTACCACGCTCACCTCGCATCGCCAGCGCCCGTTTCAGCAGATACAGGAACCACACCGCGCGCGCCTACCGGCGGGGCACCGGAGCGCCGGACATGTCGGCCGCCGGCGACAGGTCAGCTACACTGCCCCCCTTCCGTTTCTCTGTTTTTGCTTGTTGTCCTGCTGGTTCTTGACCGTCTGAAACCCTGAATCCGCATGGAGCAGGGATCTGCGGGAGCTGGCGCCGCTGGAGGCCATCCTGTTCGACATCGACGGCACCCTCTGCGACTCGGATCCCTTCCACTTCCTCGCCTTCCGCGAGCTGCTGCAGGAGGTGCGCGCTTTTGCTTTTACGTCGCTCGCTTTTCCTCTCTCACCGGCGAAGCGTCTGCAGCTACCCTGTGCTGTGACCCCGAGCTCTCTGAACTGAATCTCCCTGCAGGTTGGTTTCAACAATGGAGTCCCCATCACCGAGGAGTTCTACAGCGCCAACATCAGCGGGTGGCACAACGACGCCCTCGCCGGCGCTCTGTTCCCGGAGCTCGACCACGCCAAGGGCATGGAGTTCATGGATCGCAAGGAAGCCCTGTTCAGAAAGTAACCAACATTACCCTACCTTCATTCTTCATACCGTAGCATGATTTATTACATACCGTAGCATAAATAATATCGAATCTCGCATATATGGAATGTTTTAGAGGATGCTGTTAAGTATCGATCACTCTGAATGATTCAGTTTCAGATATGGCACTGATTGGGTACAGGCACAGAGCAGGCAGATTTCAGTACAATGCCCCGAAATTCTCAATTCCCTTGTGTTGTTCTTGCTCTGTTACTCTGATTCTTCCTGGAAATCTCAAGCTTAGAAACCGTGCAGGTTGGCAGCAGGAGAGCTCAAGGGACTGGCGGGATTGCAGGAACTGTGCACATGGATCGAAGGCCGCAACCTGAAGCGGGCGGCGGTGACGAACGCGCCGAGGGCGAACGCGGAGCTCGTGCTGTCGCTCCTCGGCCTCACCAGCTTCTTCCCGGTGCTCGTCATCGGGAGCGAGTGCGAGCGGGCCAAGCCGTCCCCGGACCCGTACCTCAAGGCCCTCGACCTCATCGGCGCGTCGCCCGATCACACGTTCATCTTCGAGGTAATCAAGATCCGCTGTTCATCTGTTCATGCGCCACAGCCCACATGCCACGACGTCGATGAATGCACCACGTCGATGTTGGATTGCCGATCGTGATGTTTCTGTTCATTTGGTTTGTCAGGATTCCGCGTCCGGGATCCGGGCCGGCGTCGCCGCCGGCGTGGCCGTGGTGGGCCTGACCACCGGGAACCCGGAGAAGGTGCTGAGGGACGCGGGGGCGAGCCTGCTGATCGGGGATTTCCGGGACCCGAAGCTGATGGCCATGCTTCAGGAGCTAGACCCTGCAGCTGCAGATAAGCAAGGCTGATGTTCGCGGACATGCTTGCTAACTGGACGACTAGTCGGTGATCCCGATTTTTCTAAGTTCAATATTTCATCGTACACGAGCATGAATAATTCTGCAACTACTCCCTCTATTCTAAATTACTCATCGCAAAAATGAATGTATTTAAAACTATAATACATCTAGATACATTCATACCCGCGACAAGTAATTCGAAACGGAAGGAGTAGTATTTAACTTCCGCCGATGCGCGAATCCGTGATCAGAAGAGTTGAGCGCACACTCCTTGGATGTTTGTTCTTCTTCTTTTGACACCTAAAATCTCTTTCTTTATGAGTTTTTTTTACGGTATTCTGGTACTCCAAAACCACATCAAGGAGTACCATGCAGATCTGGCCGTCCGCATGGAGGGGCAACAAAGTCATTTCCCAAAGGGCATCGAGGGGTGATTTTTGACTTTTGAACGCACACGCAGTCCATCGCCCAACACGCTCGATCTGTTTAGTGTAGAACCGATTTTTTCGGGGTGGGACGATGGAGATATGGACGTTTTGGACTTTCCGTACCAAATTAGGGGATATACTTTCTCAAAAAACGAAAATCGGGCGATCTGTTTCGTAGATCCGATTTTTATGCGGCGTGGTGCAGGCCATATTGGTGGGTCTCGTTCATTTATAGCTGAGATTTCTTTTTATGGGAAATAGCTGAGATTTATTTGGGAGAGAAAATAAAACTAATGTTGCATGAGCCTAGAACGTGCAGCGTACAAGTGAAACTCTCAAACCAGTTCCTTTTTTTTCCCTCGGTGAAGCCACAAGGGGACGAACCTTGGAGAAATAAAAGGTTGTACTAAAGAAAATGCTAATTGCAGGTACGTCAAATTATCTTTCTGAACACTCCCAACTTTTTTTTGTTAAAGCCATTTACAAGTTTGAAAAAACATAATTTTGTGTATATATCTCATTTGAACGTCTCAGAGAGGTACCTATTGGTCCGGATAACTCTGAGTGGTACCTATAGGTTTGTAAGACTCATGCTAGTAATTCATACAAAAAAAGACTCATGCTAGTAATTCATACAAAAAAAGACTCGTGTTAGTACTTATGGATACGAATAACTACTAGAAGTACTTGTGGGTCCAGAAAACTCATATTGGTATTTGGGGTCCTGATGACTCGGAGTGGCACTTCTGGGTCCAAACGACTCATACTTGTACTTTTTTTTGGTCCATATGACTTGGAAGTGATACCCGTGGGGCGAACTAGTGGGCCTCATTAAATCGAAGTTGTACCTATACGTCCAAGCCACATGCATCATAACTTTTGGGTCCAGATTATTTGGAGCGGTACATGTCGGAGAAAACAACTCATACTGGTACTTGTGGGCCCAGATGGCTCGGAGAAGTACATATGGCCAAAATGCTCGGAGTGGTACATGTAGATCCAAACAACTCTATTATTACTTTTGGGTCCGGAAGACTCATGCTAGTACTTCTGGGACCGGAAGACACGTATTGGTATTTTGTGGGTCCCGATGACTTAGAGTGGTACTTCTGGATTCAAAAGAATCATACTTGTACATTTTTGGATCCATGTGACTTGAAGTGTAGGCCCGGTTAACTCGGAGTTGTACCTATAGGCCTAAAATACACGTGTTGGTACTTGTGGTCCAGATGATTCAGAGTAGTACATGTTGTTGGGGAACGTAGTACTTTGAAAAAATTTCCTACGCACATGCAAGATCATGGTGATGCATAGAAATGAGAGGGAAGAGTATCGTCCACGTATCCTCGTAGACCATAAGCGGAAGCGTTAGCACAACGCGGTTGATGTAGTCGTACGTCTTCACAATCCGACCGATCCAAGTACCGAATGCATGAAACCTCCGAGTTCGGCACACGTTCAACTCGATGACGCCCCGCGAGCTCCGATCCAGCAAAGCTTCACGGGAGAGTTTCGTCAGCACGACGACGTGGTGACGGTGATGATGATGCTACCGACGCAGGGCTTCGTCTAAGCACCGCTACGATATAATCGAGGTGGATTATGGTGGAGGGGGGCACCGCACACGGCTAAGGGATCAATGATAAACTTGTGTGTCTAGAGGTGCCCCCTGCCCCCGTATATAAAGGAGTGGAGGAGGGGGAGGGCCGACCCTCTCTAGGGCGCGCCATGGGAAGTCCTACTCCCACCGGGAGTAGGATTGCCCTCTTTCCAACTTGGAGTAGGAGAGGGAAGGAAGAGGAAGGAGGGAGGAAGGAAAGAGGGAGCCGGCCCCCCTCCAATTCAGATTGGGCTTGGGGGGGGGCACCTCCCTTGCTCCTTTCCCCTCCTTTCCACTAAATCCCAATAAGGCCAAAATACCTCCCGGGGGGTTCCGATAACCTCTCGGTGCTCCGGTATATTCCTGATCTCACCCGGAACCATTCCGATATCCAAATATAGTTGTCCAATATATTGATATTTATGTCTCGACTATTTCGAGACTTGAAAGAACATGCGGTGCCCCCATGTTTGGTTTTGGTAATTGATGACAATCTCTATGGACTAATGGTTGTCTTGAGTTATATTTGAAGGTTTTGTCCATAGGCTTTTCTTGGAGTACATGTGTTGGTTTCAAGGAGAGTTTGTGTTGACTAAGGTGCTATTAAGGAATTATCCAAAGATTGGTCATGTGAGAGTTGAGCTTATTGCAAGCATGTCTTGAAGAAGAAGATTGTGTGATCATTCATGTTTACCTTCAAGACATCATCCAAATGAAGAGAGTTGGAAATATTTAAGGTTGATCAAGACTAAGTCAAGAGTGAATCAAGTTGATCAACTCACAAAGTGTAGAAGATGTACCGAGAGGGATCAAGTGATCCCATGGCATGGTAAGCATTGTCCATTGTGCTTTGTGTACTAACCCATGGTCTACGTGAGAGTTCTATGTGGGGTTAGGTACGTGTTCATGGGCTTTCGTCAAGAGGAAGATATCACTCAACCCATGGAGAGGATGACATCAAGTGGTGATCGTCATCAAGATTGTTGTGTGCAAGTTCAAGTGGAGCATCACGAAGAGATCAAGTGCTTGAAGCTTGCCATCCATTGTGGTGTCAATGGACTTGTGAAGATGTGCCGAAGAGTGGCTCACCCATAGTGGAGTATGGGGGAACAATCATCTAGTCTCCATCGACCCAATGCAATCAAGAAAGGTGGTCCATCTTGAGGAGGACAAGATCGTCATCATCTAGCTCAAGTGGATCATGTGCAAGCAAAGGTTTTCCCTTGATAGGTTTTCTATTTTACCGGTCTCATGATGGTAGTTGGGAGACCGGGTTATAGGATCGATAGCCGTACTATCAAGGGGGGCTCTCAAGTGAGTAGCTTGATCGTATCGTTCATCGAGTGCTCAAACCATTGCATCCTTGCATCATGTTTCTTGGTTCTTGTTTGGTTCTCTTTGTGAGTCTTAGAGCTTATGGTCATCTTGATGACAAGCTTGAGTTCATCGAAAACGGAGTTTGCATTCGTCTTCTATGATGTTTTCGGTGTTGGAGCTTTTACCGGTCTTATCCGAGGAAGGGTTCTCACCATTTTCTTTTGGGCCTTTTCTCATTTGCTTCTTATTGGTATTTCTATCAAGATTGTGTTAGCCCTTGTCTCTAGCTTTCCAACAAATTTGGTTTCGTCGAATTCGGAGTCCGTTTGCAAAAGTTGTGGCAGTTTTGGTGTTCTGAAAAGGTTGCAGCAGTACTACCGCGAATTGGAGCGGATGTAATTTTTTACTACCGCTCCAGAGCGGTACTACCGCTCCAGACAAAAAACTCGTCCCAAGTCTTGCGGTGGTAGGCCCGGATGTATTTTTTTTAGTACTGCTCCCAAGCAGTAGTACCGCTACCCTTTACGGTAGTACCGCGATCCCTAGCGGTAGTACCGTGAGGACGAGCGGTAGTATCACTCCAGCGGTTCTACTGGCCTTTTGTCTCCTCGCTGTTGTGTTTCAAAGGGCTACTACCGCCCTAGCGGTAGTAACGCTCCTTGGAGCGGTAGTACCGCTCGGTGCGGGCTGTGAGCACAACGGTTGAATTTTTCCCCACCTATAAAAGGGGGTCTTCTTCCCCAATGAATCTTATCCTTTTAGCTCGTGTTCTTCCCCCATTGTTGGCCTTCTTCGAGCTTGCTAAATCTTAATCCCTCCAATGATTCTTGCTAGTTCTTGATGGAAAAGAGAGAGGAGATCTAGATCCACGTTTCCACCAATCACTTTCTCCTTTAAGTGAGTGGAACCCCTTGGATCTAGATCTTGGAGTTCTTCGTGTACTTCTTTCATTCTTCTTCTCATTTTCTTCCCTGGCATTAGTTGCTTTGGTGGGATTGGGAGAGAAGGACTTGGGCACTCCGTGTGCCCTTGCCATTGCATTTGGTGCATCGGTTTGAGTTCTCCACGGTGATACGTGGAAGTGAAGTTTGAGAAGCTTATTACTCTTGGGTGTTTGGGCACCCTAGAGCTTGTTCCTCTTGGGTGCCTTGGCGCCCTAGACGGTTGGTGGTGTTCGAAGCTCAATCATTGTGGTGTAAAGCTCCGGGCAAGCGTCGGGGTCTTCAATTAGGTTGCGGAGATCGCCCCGAGCAATTTGACGGGTACCGGTGACCGCCCCCAAGGGTTGCCAAAGTGTACGGGTTCGGTGACCGCCCCCAAGGGTTGCCATTTGTATGGGTTCGGTGACCGCCCTCAACGGTCCCTTAGTGGAATCACGGCATCTTGCATTGTGCGAGGGTGTGAGGAGATTACGGTGGCCCTAGTGGCTTCTTGGGGAGCATTGTGCCTCCACACCGCTCCAAACGGAGATTGGCATCCGCAAGGGTGTGAACTTCGGGATACATCGTCGTCTCTGTGTGCCTTGGTTATCTCTTACCCGAGCTCTTTACTTATGCACTTTACCTTGTGATAGCCATATTGTTTCTTGTCATATATCTTGCTATCACCTAGTAGTTTATCTTGCTTAGCATAAGTTGTTGGTGCACATAGGTGAGCCTAGTTGT